TTTGGCAAGGATGGTCTGATCCTCCGCCTCTTGAGCCTTCCTCCTAGCCTCCAACTCCGCTCGGTCGAGGTCCCCACCGCTCGGCTGTGGACCCAACCCCGCCTCAAACAAAGCCGACGGCTGAACGAGCTCGTCCCACCTGACCCCTTCCTTCTCCCTCCATTCCTTTACCCTCTTCACCCTCTCCTCTGCTGCTGCCCCCAGCTTTGGCTCCACAGACTTGGTGGGCACTTTTCAAATGGTGCGCACTCCAACCCTTCTACTGGCAGACACATAGAACCACCGTGGTCTCCACCCCTTGATCGACAGCGGCAGCCCCGCCACCAACCCTTTTCCTGCTGCTGCCTGCAGAGTGACCCAAGTCTCTTGCTGCCCTGACGCCTTGTAACATGCGAAGAATTCGTCTACTGTCATGGCCGCCCCTTCGTTCGCCTTCGGCCACGTGCTTGCACAGGCCAGTAAGATCTTCCACGCATTGGGCATTAGTTGGCTCAGCGCTACCTCCAAACAATTCAGGACATCTACCACCACTTGCGGCAGGGGCAGCCTCAGTCCTCCCTTCAATGCTTCCTCATAAAGGGCAAACTCCCCTGGCCTGGCGTCAGATGGCCTTTCCGTCGACGTCGGCAACAATAACTCTATTTGAACAGGCACCTGGTATTTTTCTCGCATAGCCTCCAAATCCGTTGCACTAACCGTTGATCTATCTGCCTTTGTATGCCAGTGATCTGGCTCTGCCTGGCTGATTGGCTTCGACGCTGCTATCATGGTGGAACCATGGGATCGTACCACCGACTCCCCTCCCCTCTCCATCCTATATTGCTGCGCCAACTCCACTGCATCATCATCACCAAGTGGATCCACCTTGACATTCGCAGTTTCTTCTTGGGCCATCTCTATGGTATGTCTGCGAATCGCTTCGGATGCAGGTGCAAGGAAATTGAAAAAGTGTTGTAGAGGTGTATCGTGAGCAACAAAGGAATTAACACTTGGAATGTTTTGATTTTTTGTAAACAAGTAGGTGAATCGAATGATACCAAATGCCCACGGTTTGCCCGTATTTCAAGGATCCCAATTAATTTTTGCCAGTTTGAAAACTTTTCAAATCATCTGCTAAAACTGTCTTTTCAACACCCATAATGACCTATCGTTTTATTTCTGATCTAGCGCCTAATCTCCCCCCTCGGCAGGATGTTGCCACGTGTACGATCACGATCCACTGACTCATCCCTTCACCCTGTCTTTTCCACTTCAAATCACCACGTGACACGCCGCCTCTCGAGCCCTACGCCCCTCCACCTCACCCTTCGCAGTTGGACCTCCTTGCGGTCGACCCTTCCACTCGGCCAACCTCCGCGGTCGGCCCCCTTCGCAGTCGGCCCTCCTTGTGGTCGACCCTCTCACTCGGCCAACCTCCGCGGTCGGCCCCCCTCGCGGTCGGCCCTCCTCGTATTCGACCCTCCCACTCGGCTAACCTTTGCGGTCGGTCCTCCCCGTGATTGGCCCTTCCACTCGATCGCCTTGCACGGTCGGACCATCTCCTGGTCGGTTCACCCCCTAGGTCACTCCTGCCGGTCGACCTCCATCTTGCCGATCCCTAACACCCTCATCTACTTCATTAATATTCCCTTCGTGGGACTAAAGTTGCACTCGGGAATGGGGGACTACTGACGTGTATAAGCCCATAAAAGCCACGAATCACTCTGAACAATCCAAGCCCATCACTTGGAGTCCAATGCATAACCCAGCTGGTGAGGTCCAGGACAGCTGGAGTCCAACATGGCATAAAGAACCAATGACATTCTGACACACGGTAGGTGAAGGACGACCCACATCAGCAGACAAAGATTTGCAAAGTTATTACCACTGCACATCACCATTAATGCAGCCCATCACAGCATTTATTACGACAACACCTCTCCGTCGGAACAGGACCCCCTTACCCTAAACAAGGTAAGCTACAGCATAGACTTTCGGCGAGGAGGGCAGGTCGGAAGGGACATCGAAATGATTATCAAAGGATATAAGCAAACGTTAAAGACAAAAAGAAGGTTAAGGCCTTGTTTGGTTTGTGTTTCTCAAAAAATTTTGAGAAAAATTCTCTACAAATAAGTTTTCAAAAGTAATCAAACCAAACAAATTTTTTCAAATTTTTTTTCCAAAACTTTGTTTGGTTTACAAGTTTTCCAAACAAATCTCTCTCTCATATACATCAAATCAATCACTTTTTCCAAAACTCTCTCAAAATAATTTTTCAAAACATCTTTTGAAAAAAAATCAAACCAAACAAATTTTCGTACTTTTTATCTCAAAACATGTTTCTTAAATACAAACCAAACAAGCCCTAAGTTTTTCTATCTCTAATCTCTCCCTCTACACTCTACTTATTTTCCTAACTTGCTCGTCGGAGGGTTCACTGGGGGATTATCCCGTTCCCCGTTGAACTTGTTTGCAGGTTATCCGGTGGGCTTGATCATTTAGACCTGGGCTTGAGGAGCTTGGACCAATCCGATCCATTCACTGAGACAAACTGTATCATCAGTGGTTGTGCGACTTTGCTGTATTTTGATCTATTGTAAGGGTTGTAAGGTATGAAATTGGGTGAAAAACTTGAAGCCAATTTTTTTTTTTTTTTTTTTTTTTTTTTTTTGGGTGAAGAGTTTTGGGATTTACTAGAATTTGTTTAAGGCATGTGCCAACTTAATTATGATATGTGTTTAACAACAAAGTTTTGGTTCTTTAATTCTTAATTTTCTTGATATAATCTTTAAAAACTTTTAGTAGTATGTTAACCAGTTGGATGTGGAAACCGACTCTCAAATGATGATAAACCTTATTGTAGATGTAGAAAATAATTTTCATTATCTTTGTAATGATTTTTTTGGGCCATATGAGGTTGAAAGTTCTAAACGCACTATATTGAGATTTTTGACTCTTCTGTGATTGAATTTTGTGAATTTAAAATTTTTTGTGCATATTACAAGTACCTCCTAACTAGTTAGGTGTAACAAGAATTAAACATGTCTATCACAGATGCAACAGAACACATATAAAATGGTGAACCAAAGTACACAAAATGATTTTAGGATAAATTACATGTATACCCTTACATTTTTATCAAAATTTCACTTTGTCCTTTTACTTTCAATTGTAACAGTGTAAAGTTTCAATTTCACCCTTCTGTCAACTATTGTTAATAAAGTTGGAGGGACTAAAGTGATATTTTGGTAAAAGTATAAGGATTAAAAAGAGATTTTACTAAAATTGAAGGGGGCTAATGAGATGATAAAAATGTCACATACTTTAAATGACAAATTTCGTTAACTTTATTAACAATAGATGGATGGAAAGGTGAAATTGTAACTTGATTTAAACTGTAGGAGTTGATTGTTATAATTGTAGGAGTTGATTGTTATAATTGAAAGTGGAAGGACAACAGTGAAATATTAGGAAAAATGCTGAGATACTAATTTACCGTTGATTTTATTATATTTGATTAATCTTCTATTTTTCCTTTGGTAGTATATTACGTGATGAGGACTTCATACCCCCAGAACTTTGTGCTCTGAACTTTTTTAATGTTTTGAGCACCCTTTTTATTAAAAAAAAAAAAAGAATAAAAATGAAAAAGCAAAAGATCAATGCATGTTTAATGCAACCGAACAGACTTTTAACTTTATTTAAACATAAAATTGAAAGTCTAAAACTAACATAATGAAAAATTTTAAGCCCGTAGAATTCAATTATAAAATTAAATATAATTATGTCATATGAGGTGGCTTCTGTCAAATATGTATGTTTCATTTAATATAAGAATTGTGTCTGATTTTTTGTCAATTGATATGGAGAGTAATTACAAATATAAAAAAATATTACATTAAATTGGGCAACTAAAAATCCAAACAATAGTTATAAGAAGATTATGTTTAGTTTGGTAGTTAAAATTTGTGCACGTAGAAAAATTGAAATAATTTATTTGATCTTTTATATTAAAAATCAAAAGGCCATTTATATAAATTCATAATTAAAAAATGTTATTTATATATCATTATAGATTTATGGTATACAAATAAAAGGTTTGTACAAAAATTTTATACAAAATGAGTTGGTATTGTGTGGCCATTTCATTTTCAATAAAAGAAAACCTACCGTTGTCCTTGTAATTTTCAAAATGTCACGGACACATCATTTTGAATGTAAATTTTTGTATAAATTTTATATTTGCAAATGTCTGTCCATCATTCTATATGATTTTTGCATAATAAATAAAAAATTATATAATACACACCCCAAAATAAGGTATGAACCATATATTTCAGTTACAATATTCGTAATTTTTTGGTTATAGTTATGATTTATTGTTGTGTTAGTTATAACTTGGTTATCTATTATAGTGCTAGTTACAACTCATTATGATGATGATGATTATGACTTATTATTTTCGTTATGATCGAAAAGGTCTTTGGATATATCTTATATGGTGTTTAATTATGACTCATTATATTTTTTTAGTTATAATTAAAAATGATTTAGTAATATCATTTATGATTATTAATATTATAAATGTCATAATTTAGGTACGTTATATACCTTTTTAACATTTTAACATTGTGTATTCTCGATAAATATAATCTACAGACTTTTGACACCTATCATTTTAGTTTATTAATTTAAATGTTGCTAAATTTAGAGAATTTTTATTCCTAAAGACATTTGACACCTATCATTTTAGTTTAATAATTTGAAAGTTACTAAACTTAGAATCATTTTAATTTATTAATTAATTAATTTGAAAGTAGTTAAATTCTTCTAAAGTTTAGAATCATTTTAATTTATTAATTAATTAATTTAAAAGTAGTTAAATTCTTCTAAATTTAACAACTTCAGAAATTTAGCAACTTTCAAATTAATAAACTAAAAATGATAGTGTCAGATGTCTCTGGATTGTTCCACCACTGCACTACCCCCTCACTTTCTCTCATAATTTTCTCTACTTTTAACACTTCCCCACTCCCTGCTTTTTCTTCCCCTTCTCACTTTCCTCTTTCCTATTTCCTCTAAATTTCCCTTCTGTCTCTGCTCCTCCTCCAATTCTTCTTCTTCTTTGAAATCACAAGGAAGTCTTTCTAATGGCAACACTACCAGGTCAAGGAGAATCCTTAGACCCCCTCACATACAAGGTATATTAACCATTTACTTTCTGTACTCCACACAAGGTATATTAACCATTTACTTTCTGTACTCCACAATCTTCAACCTCAACACATCTCTCTCTCTCTATTTTTCTTTTTATTAACCTCTTCTCTGCTCATTTTTTTCTCAGACATCGGTCCTCAAAGTCTCCGTCCACTGCGAAGGTTGCAAAAGGAAAGTAAAAAAAGTACTTCTTGGCGTTCATGGTAATTTTCTTCCTCATCCGGGTTTTATTCACTTCAATTTAAGATTTTTTTTTTGATTTTTTTTTGTTGCTTTTTTTTTGGTATTTCATGCATGAATTATTATTTTCATCTATTTATTATCTAAATTTTTAATTTCATGCATGTGATTCAACTGATGATGATTTTACAATTCAATAATAGTTGAAGTTTAATTTAATGAATAACATTTTATTTCAGAATTTGAATAACTTAAATCATACCGTGGAAAAAAAAAAAACAAAAAAATAGTATACCTCACAACCAATTTAATGAGGGTTTTGGTGATATGATTTAAGTTGTTCATAATATAAAATTATGTTTTGCTCATCAAATTAGGTTTAAATGGTTACTGTAAAATGGTTTCCAACTCAATAAAACGAACAAAAATCAGAAAATTTAAGAGCTAAATAGACGAAATTGATAGTTTAAGGTTAAAATAGAAGAAAATAATAATAATAATAATAGTTTATGAGATAAAAGTGAAATTAACACTTCAATTTGTTATCATCTTTTCTCTTAGCGATTTTTTCATCCATGTTTAGGTGTTTATGCTGTAGACGTCGACATCAAGCAACAAAAAGCCATAGTAAATGGCAATGTAGACGCAGCGACTTTGATCAAGAAACTGAAAAAGTCTGGTAAACATGCCGAGTTGTGGCCAGAAATAGTAGCTGAAAAGAAGGAAAAAAAGTCGCACAAATCAAAGAACAAGGAAAAACCGATTGACCCCGAAACCAATACTCAAGCTAGTGACGATCGTAGCAGTCCTAAGAAGGAGAAACCGACAGTAAAAGTGGAAGCAAGTGAAAGTGGTGCTAGTTCAGCTAAAAATAGTGAAGGTGGTGGTGGTGCAGTAAAATTTGAGGACGGCGCTGCCAAAAATGGTGGCGGAGGTGGTGGTGAAGTGGCGGAGTCAAAATCTGAGGGGAAGAAACCGGAAACCGGATCGGCCGGCAAACAGTTGCCTGTGACTGACAAAAAAGGTGGTGAAAGTGAAGGCGGTGATAAGGAAAGTGATGGTGGTAGTGACAATAATGGTAAAAAAAAGAAAAATGAGGAGCAAAAAAATCCGATTGAAGGTAAACCATCAAGTGGTGGTGGGCCAGCGATTACGAGATTGGAAAATCAGCATGCTGGCCCACCACCTCCGGTTAGTTTAATCTCTTCACGTCATCACCACCACGGGTATCAATACCCATCTCAATACTACGCACCATCATCAAGTGGTGGTGCACCCGATCATTATGTTGGCCCGCCTCCAGTTAATCTCAGCCCTCCACGTCATCATGGTTACCAATACGCTGTGAGTTACAATACATCGTATCCTACAAGCAGTTATACGACATCGTACTATGCCTCACCACCACCGCAATCATCCGCTTATGTGCATCCTGGTCCAGAGACAGAACCTCCACCATCTGATTTCGACTCTTATCCACGACAACCGTTAGATTCGTTTGAGATGTTCAGTGATGAAAATCCAAATGGGTGCTTCATTATGTGATGAGGGGCATGATTGGCATTCCAAATTATGGGGTATACTAAACTTATACTACTTGTATATGTACGGGAATACCTTCATATTGTATGTGTATATGAGTGGACTGGTAGAGTAATAACTAAGGGAAAAATGACTGGGATTTAGGGTTCTATTCTAGTTAATGGAAATGTTTTTGTTTAGTTATTTACTCTTTTGGTCCAAAAAGTTGCCTCCTAATGCTAGTTGTTTGTTGCTTTTTCTCTCTCGATTATTCTCTAATGTTGGTTGCATTATTACACTAATAATGGAAAATGAGACTAAACAATTGTGGCAGATTATATAAATGTGTTGTCTTAGTTGCTGTTAAGATATATATTAAATACGAAAAAATTGTCTGATGAACTACCTTTGATTTTTTTTAAATAATTTGTTTTATAAGAAATATTAAAAAAAATAATAATAATTATTTTTTTTTCATAAAAATAAAACATATGAAAATAATATATATTTTCAATTTTTTTTTTTGGGCGTATATTTCTGAAATTTTGAGAAAATAAAAATAAAAATGAAATTGAAAATGAAAATGAAAACATACGCAATGTCTATCTGTCTCCTGTGTGTAAAGTGAAGTGGGCATTTTGGCTTATTAGAGGGTGGCTAATTACAGGTATGAATGTCTACTAGGCAGAGAGGTGCTTTAGAAGGATCATAGAGCACACCAGATTTAAATAGGTGTCAACGTCTAAAAACCATTTTTACACAAATTAATCTTGCACTCCATTAAATTTACAAACCAACCCATTACTATCACACCATGTGTAAAGATTATGGTCTATGGTCCCTCATTTGGAAATATTTTCCGGTGTCTTTTGGATATGCGCCAGTAACTAAATAAGGAGATTGATCAATAAGTTTTATATTTTAGATTTATAATTTATATACGTCTTATATTTTTTTTGTAACCCATTTAGTCATTTTAGATGTGTAATGATTCATTTACCTGTCACATTGAAATGTCACATTTAGAAAAGTTACACTAATTTTTTTTTTAGTATTATATTATATTCGTCACGTTAGAGTGTCATATTTAGAAAAAGTACATTAAAGAGTTTTTAATTTTTTTAGAGTGTCACATCATATTCGTCACATTAGAGTGTCACATGTCACATTTGAGAAAAATACAATAACGAGTTTTTAATTTTTTTTAGAGTGTCACATCATACCCATCACGTTTTCGTGTTTGAGAAAAGTACATTAAGAAACTTTTATTTTTTTTGAAGTGTTACATTATACCCGTCACGTTGTCACATTTAGGAAAAGTACACTACAAAGTTTTTATTTTTTTTGGAGTAAAATTTTTGAAATGTCACATCATATCTGTCACGTTGTTACATTTAAAAAAGTGCACTAAGGAGTTTTTAATTTTTTTAGAGTGATATATTGTTGGAGTGTCACATTAATACCTATCACATTAGAGAATCACATCAAACCCGTCATATTAACAAAATGATATAATTGTCCACTAAAACACTACCAAAATAAAAAATAGGATCACAGAGAAAAAAAAACTCTTCACTAATAGGAGCTCTTGTTTATGAGATGAGATTTATTAGTAAATATTCCAACTAAATATTATGTTTTCTATTGTTTTAAATCTTGATTTCATATAATGCATTGTCTAGAGTGCACATTGTAGTGTCTTAAAATTACGTTGCTTTAAGGCTAAACTTAAAAATAAATAAATAAATAAAAGAAAAGTGTCTCATTTATCTTTTCCTTCACTAAAAATGATGTTATTTTAGGACATTATAAGGTGCATTGTAGACAATACACTGCAGAATATTCAAATTTTGTTGTTCCTCCATGTTCCAAAACAAAATTCTGAATTCTACCTCCTTCCCTAATCACAACAATATTAAAATACCAACTAACTATATTTCCGAATCACTGAATAACTTCTCATCATTTGAATACATGAAAATATTACTTGGCTTAGTAGCCTTGAAATTTTGTAATGCTTTATGAATTCCCTCTTGGGTGCAATGAGTGGCTGCTTGTTTGTAGGACCATTGAAGTCCTTTAATCAGTCTATTTCTGATGTGTAAAGTTAATTTTAGGTGTTAAATGGGGCCATATAGGTAGGCTTAAGGTCTTTGTTTTTGGTAGTCTCTTTTTAAAAAGCAATTTCTTTACTTTCATCAAAAGCTTCAAAACTAGCTCTGAGGTTTGATGTTTTTTTGTCTTTTGCTTTTGTTACCATTCCAATTAAACCTCACAACCCTTTGTTTTTAATAGAGTCTGTTGGGGTATATAAAGGTAGGGGAAAATTCTACTGAGTGATTTTTATGTATGGTGCATAAAAAAATATAAATTATTAAATTTAAACAAGATAAATATTAATCATTAGATGAATTAAAAGTAAAACTAGATAAAAAAAAAAAAAGTAAGGTAGTTTTGCATAAGATAAAGTAGTTTTGGTTAATTTTGAAATAAAAAAAATGATATTAATTTATCATTTTCTACAAAGAGACTTACTATTTAGTATTCACTCACTTATTATTTGTTATGAATAAACTTACTATTTAAAATATTACCTGCTAAATAAGTCACCTTCAATTCTTGAAAATTGTGTCATCTTTTATATTTTAAATTAATTTTAAATATATAAAACTAATGACCTATCATATTTAACTGTTTTCTCTCTATATTTGTCTTGTTATGATTTGTAAGAAGTAAAATATGACATGTAAATATTAATTTATTAAAATTTGTTAAAATTTACTAATTTTTTAAAATAGTCATTATTGTGAAAATTAATTTTTAATATAATATTAAAAATAAATAAAAAAGAAATAGTTTGTAAATAAAATATTTTTAAATTGTAAGTCATTTAAACTTAATTTTAAAAACATGGTTAAATTACACAGACACTCCCTGAGGTTTATGTTTATTACAGTTCCCCATTCACCTTTTGAAAATTACATCTCCCTCTGAGGTTTAAAGTTTCATTACAGATTCCCCCCTCAATAATTTAACTTTTTTAAATACCAATTTTGCCCTCACTGGGTAAATTACATTGGCACCCCTCACATTTTAGAAATTACAATCCCCTCCCTAAGGTTTAAAGTAGCATTACCAATTACCCCCTCGGTTAGTATTAGTTGGAAAAAAAATTCATTGAAAAAAGTTAATTAGAAAAAAATTTATTTGAAAAAAATATAAATTGAAAAAAAAAATTTGTTAGTAAAATTTTTAAATTTTTGTTTAAAAACCAACATAAACTCATTTTTTTAATTTACGTTTTTTTCTCAAATTTGCAAACTTAGACAATCATTTATAAACCCAAAAAATTATCAAACAATTTTTTATAATAGTTTTTTAAAATTTTTTGTAAATATAAATTGAAAACTGAAAACGAAATAGTTACCAAACAGGCTTCAGATGGTAAAAATGTCACAAAATTAACAAATAATTAAATAAGTTACCAATGTAAGAAATGACCTATCAAAAGATTCTTAGGCTATGTAAGATTTGATTTTTAGAATTTTTTTTAAAAATTAAAAATTAATCTGGTTAAGAAATAAAAAATAAAAAATAAATATTATTTTTATATAATTTTTATCTTTCGAGTGGTTAGAAATAATTTTTTACAAATTAAATTGAAACAGCCATACATATGTATATAACATGCCCAAAAGTTAAATTGATAATTATTTTTTACTCTTAAATGATAATTATTTTTATATTTTATTTCTTAACCTATTTAATTTTTAATTTTTTAAAAAAAATTCTAAAAATCAAATCATTCATAGTCCAAGAATCTTTTGATAAGTCATTTCTTACGTTGGTAAATTATTTAATTATGTGTTAATTTTATGACATTTTTACCATCTGAGATCTATTTGGTAATCATTTCGTTTTCAGTTTTCAATTTATATTTACAAAAATTTTAAAAACTGTCATAAAAACTTATTTGATAATTTTTTTTTTGTTTATAAATGGTTGTTTCAGTTTGTAAATTTGAGAAAAAAACATAAATTCAAAAAATGAGTTTACGTTGGTTTTTAAACAAAAATTTAAAAATTTTACTAACAAATTTTTTTTTCAATTAAATTTTTTTTTCAATGAATTTTTTTTTCCAACAATACTAACCGAGGGGGCAATTGATAATGCTACTTTAAACCTTAGGGAGGAGATTGTAATTTCTAAAAGATGATGGGTGTCAATGTAATATACCCAATGAGGCCAAAATTAGTATTTAAAAAAATTAAATTGCAGAGGGGGGAATCTGTAATGAAACTTTAAACCTTAGGGGGGAGATGTAATTTCCAAAAGGTGAGGGAGGGAACTATAATAAACATAAACCTCATGTGGTGTCAGTGTAATTTACCCTAAAAACATTAATATAAAATAGTTTTTTATTTTATTTTACTTTTTTTTTTATTTTTACCTACAATACCTCAAAATAGTAATTACTATTTAAGGACCTGTTTGGTAACGTTTATATTTACCGTTTTCTATTTTAGCATAACTTCATTGACTATTAACTTAAGTCTATTGAAGTGGCGTCGTATTGATTGACAAGTCATGTTTAATTAAGTAGTAAGCATCGTTTGATTGAGTAGTAAGTGAAAACTCAAAAACTATTAACTAAAGTCTAATAGAGTAGTAAGTAGAAATTGGAATATCTCGTTGAGTAATAACTTCTTGTGTGGTAGAGCAAACATGTGACTATGAGAATAGGGTTCATACAAAAAGGACATGTACAGCTATTTTGGGATTGGGCATAGAGCACAAGTTGTCGATGATGATGCAGAAGGTGCTTTGGCTTACTATCAATTGTGATAGTACTTATCACTTATTACGACAAATTGACAATACTTATCACTCTTAAATATAATACTTATTATTTGTTCTAATTCTAATGATCAATCATTAGTTGTTAGTAGTCAGATATTTGATTAAGTAATAAGTCAAATCATTTTATTCGTTCTAATTCTACTTACTACTCAACAATTGTCAGTAGTCAAATGTTTGATTAAATAATAAGTGAAAGTCTAATTATCAAGCAAGTGGAGTCTCATTAAATAGTAAGTGAAATTTCATTGAATAAAAAATCGAGTCTAATGGAGTAGTAAGCATGATTTAATATGAGGAGTAATTCAAGTTTAATATGATAGTAAATCGAGTGTCATTGAGTAGGATAGATCAAATGAATTGCTGTCTTATTGAGCAAGTCATGTTTGATTGAGTAATGAATGAATT